ATATTATTTATAAAGAAGCCAACATCAGTTTAATTAGTGCTCATCACAGTGCGGATTTCCCATTACTGTTATGTTCACCTATGAATCTTCAGTCATTTTAAGAAGTTCAGTATTTCCAGGTCACCAGTTTTCCTTTTCAAACTTCATCTTCCACCCTATTTTTGACTTGTCAGCTGTAATTGCCATCTTTGGTACTCATTTTTCCTTGTTAATCTTTCTTTAGTTAGCTTCTAAGACAGCACACATGTAGACTTACTCTAAGCTTACGAGCTGCCTCTTCTTATCTCATCTTTTTTTGGTTTCTCCTCATATAGCTAACTCATAGGATACCCCCAACCCTTTTCTCAAAAAATATATACTCACCCCTTTGAAAAATTCATCTAGTCTCAAATTAATTGTACACCAGTAATTTGGTGCTGTCAATGGGTGTTTTTCTAGTAACCTTTCTGGACTAATTATCTAATGTTTATTCCCCTTCAGATATCATTCATTCACTTGCTGTTGTTCAGTTGTTAAGTCCTGTCTGACTCTTTGTCACCCCATGGACTGCAGCACGCCAGGTTTCCCTGTCCTTCATTATTTCCTGGAATTTGCTCAAATTCAGGTCCATTGAGTCTATGATGCCATCCAACCATCTCTTCTGTTGTCTCCTTCTCCTCTTTCCCTCAATTTTTCCCATCATCATTGTCTTTTCCAGTGAATGGGCTCTTTGCATCAGGTGGCCCAATTATTGGAGCATCAGCTTCAGCATCAGTCCTTCCATTGAATATTGAGGGTTGATTTCCTTTATGATTGACTAGTTTGATCTCCTTGCAGTCCAAGGGACTCTACTTAGCCCTGATTCAATGATGCTGCTGCTGCTAAGTTGCTTCAGTCCTGGCCAATTCTGTGCGACCCCATAGACAGCAGCCCACCAGGTTCCTCTGTCCCTGGGATTCTCCAGGCAAGAATACTGGAGTGGATTGCCATTTCCTTCTCCAATGCATGAAAGTGAAGTTGCTCAGTTGTATCCGACTCTTTGCGACCACATGGACTGTAGCCTACCAGGCTCTTCCGTCCATGGGATTTTCCAGGGAAGAGTACTGGAGTGGGTCACCATTTCCTTCTCCACCTGAGTCAATAGTCTCCCATTTTGTCCTCACTGCTGAGCTCTGTGTATGTGTTGACTCTTGCCTGCCACCCACTAGCAGTTTATAACTCTCAGCTTTTAGTTCTTGCAATGACCTCAGCATCAGTTAGAATGAAGAGATAGGCCTCCTCAGGTCTTTCCTCTCATGCTCTCAGCTCTGCATATAAGATGGCCTCCTAGGTTTTCCAGAAATTCATTGGCGCTTTTGAAAGTCTCTTAAGGACTCCTGACTCATGAGCCTCATTTACAGTTTTTTGCCAGCTTCTTTTTTTTTATACCTACTTTGGCATCTCAAGTAGATGAGATTTGAGCAATCACTACTTATTGTTTTTGACAAATGCCTTGGGGTTAAAGTTTTCCAACTGAAGGNTTTTTTTTTTTTTTTTAGATTCTACTTGTATGTGTTAATATATGATATTTGTTTTTCTCTTTCTGGCTTTATTCTGTGTGCCAGCCTGAGAGGTCTTCAAAACACTAATTATGACCATTATTTTGGCATAAAACAACAAATTTTTTTTCTCTCACAGTTCTGAATATGTAGGTCTTCCCTGGTGCTTCAGACTGTAAAGAATCTGCCTGCAATGAGAGACCCGGGTTTAACCCTTGGGTCAGAAGGGAATTGCCACCCACTCCAGTATTCTTGCCTGAAGAATTCCATAGATAGAAGAGCCTGGCAAGTCCATGGGGTCATAAAGTGTTGGACACAACTGAGCAATGAACACTTTGACTTTTTCTGAAGATGTGATGTCTAAAATCTAGTTGTTGGCAGACAAGGCTTCTGTTGATGCCTCCACATGACAACTCTTCTCTGCCTCTTAGTTTCTGGCAGTTTCTAGGAGTCCTTGGAATTTCTTGGCTTATAGCTGTATCACTCCAACCTCTGCCCTCACTGCCATGGTCTTCCACCTTGTTCTCATCTGTATCTTCAAGTCTCTTCTTATAAGACCACAAGTCGTACTGTATTAGGGCTCACCTTAATCCAGCAAGACCTCTTAACTTGACTACGTCTGCAAAGACACGATTTCCAAATAAGGTCATGATCACAGTTACTAGGGGCTAAGACTTCAAAATAATTTTGAAGAAGACTCAGTTAAATCTACCACTTTCTTTTTTAATGTTTTCAGGATCTGGATTTGTGACTTTTTTTTCCCTAAGCACAATTTTATCTGTATCTTAACAAGTTTTGCCTTTTCATACTGTTCCTGGAGTTCTCAAGGCAAAAATACTGAAGTGGCTTGCCATTCCCTTTTCCAGTGGACCACGTTTTGCCAGAATGCTCCACTAAGACCTGTCCATCTTAGGTGGCCCTACATGTCATGGTTTTTAGTGTCATTGAGTTAGACAAGGTGGTGGTCCATATGATCAGTTTGATTAGTTTTCTGTGATTGCAGTTTTCATTCTGTCTACCCTCTGATGGATAAGGATAAGAGGCTTATGGAAGCTCTTAAGTTCTAAAGGAAATCAGTCCTGAATACTCACTGGAAGGACTGATGCTGAAGCTGAAGCTTCAATACTTTGGCCACCCGAATGGAAGGACTGACTCATTGGAAAAGACCCTGATGCTGGGAAAGATTGAAGGCAGGAGGAGAAGGGAACAACAGAGGATGACATGGTTGGATGGTATCACTGACTTGATGGACATGAGTTTGAGCAAACTCCAGGAGTTGGTGATGGCCAGGGAAGCCTAATGTGCTGCAGTCCTTGGGGTTGCAAAGAGTCGGACACGACTGAGTGACTGAACTGAATTAGCAAGTTTTATGGTGTATTATCTCCATAATCCAAATCTTCTGATTCCAATTGTGGTTTCTTCTTTAGCTCGTTATTTTCTTAGAATGTATTGTTTTATTTGTAAACACGTTGAGATTTTCTGGCTGTTTTCCTATCACTGATTTTCTGCTCCATTCCTCTGATCACAGATCATACTCTATTATTTCATCCTTTGCAATAGGTTGAGAATTGCTTTATGGCCCAGCATACGATCAGTTTGGTAAATATTTTGTGTGTATTTGGAAAGAATATGAGTTCTGTAGTTTGAAAGTACATATTCTACATAGATTTTGATTAGGTCCATCTTGTTATGTATGTAGGTGAAATCTTTTATATTTCTGCTGAATTTCATGTCCCCTTGTTTTATTAGTTACTATGAGAGGTCTTAAAATCTTTAATTTTTTTAATGGAATTTATTTCTTCTTTTAGTTCTTTCAGTTTTTGCTATCTTTGGGGTCATGTCATTTGGGGTCATGTATTTGGCACTTCAATGTAGAAATAATCTTGACAATTTGTGCCCTTGTTCTGATACATGTCTGAAAGACAAAATTTTCAGAGATCCTTACTCTAACCGCTCCATAAGTCCTGTCTCCCAGACATTATTTCGATTTCTTCAAATGACATGATTGAAGCCTCAGATACCAAGAGATTTTAGATACCTAAGATTTATACTGTTTTTTTTTTTAAAATTTCTCATTTTATTCAATGCTAAACAGTATACAGAAATTTCCAACATCACATCATGAGCTCTGATGAAAGTGGCAGTATTAAATGACTTCAGGTTGATGTGGGGATGGTGGAGGTGGTAGTTTCGTCACTCAGTCATATCTGACTCTTTGGGAGTCCAGATATTGTAGCCCACCAAGTTCTTCTGTCTGTTGAATTTTCAGGCAAGAAAACTGGAGTGAGTTGCCATTTCCTCCTCTAGAGGATCTTCCCGACCCAGGGATAGAACCCATGTCTCCTGCATTGCAGGCAGATTCTTTACCATTGAATCACTAGGGAAGCCATGGGGATGAAGCGCTAAAGATTTTCCCTTTGATTTAAATAAAGCTAAATAGGGATCACTGGATATATGTTTTACTAAGAGAAATCTCATTTATTATATGTTTCTGTGGAAGAAATTGTGGGCTCTTAAATGCATTCAGTTATATTTTTCGTTCATTTACTGAGACTCCAATTAGAGGTTTATCAGCATTCTTCTTTGACAACACAGAAAATAAGCCAAACAAATTTATAAACACATAGAGTTAATGATAAAACGATATCTTATATCCTAATGTTGCATCTAGACTTATTTCTGGAAATACTGCAAAGGTATTGGCATGAGTTTCTAGGAATAATACACATTAGTCACAATCTGCTAAGTCCAGTTGCTTCTAATGAAAATTAAATATTATTCTCTATATATTATATAGGTGAGTGTGACAGCACCTTTTGGTCTAATAGAGGGATTTTTCTGATAGCAATCTCCTTGGTTTAATAAAGTGGAAATAACCATACAAATCTAAAGTGGACCAGATGCACATTCAGTAATAAAGATGCAGGCAAATTTAATTTTGTTTAAATCTGGTTTGCTCTAGAATAATGTGATTCTCAGGCTTCCCAGGTAGTGCTAGTGGTAAAGAACCCACCTACCAATGCAGGAGACATGAGAGATATGGGTTTGACCCCTCAGTTGGGAAGATCCCCTGGAGGAGGGCATGGCAACCCACTCCAGTATTCTTTCCTGGAGAATCCCATGGTCAAATGAACCTGGCATGTTACAGCCCATAGGGTCGCAAAGAGTAGGACATGACCGAAGCAACTTAGCACAGCAAATACAATATGGCTCTCAAGATTTATCCAATTCATGACCTAGAGGAGTAGGACTTAGGGGCAGTGGGAAGGAGGTCCAAGAGGGAGGGTATATATGTATACATACATCTGATATACTTTGTTGTACAGTAAAAACACACAATATTGTAAAGCAGCTTTACTCCCCAAAAAAACAAAAAATCCACATCACTAAGTTTAAAGAAAGTAGGGCTTTAGGACTAAAAATACAGTTGATGGTATGATATATTCATTCCCCTCAAACATTTTCTCATCATATGTTTCTCAGGGCCACTAAGTTTCTTTATTCACCCTGAGTTGACAAGACCAAGATTTCATGACTTCTTGCCTCGATTACTATGGTATTCCACTCATTGGTCATCCTGTTTGCTGCTGCATCTAAGACATCAGTTTATTCGATGGGTGAGCATGAATGACTAGAACATTTGAGAGAATAAACTTACCAATAATCTCTTTATCATTACCAAGAGTTTGTGACTATGTAATAGATGTAATTCTTCTTTTGTATGCTGAGCTGAAGCTCCATTGCCAACCTTAGAGATATTTCTCCACATATTAGATTTTTTAAGATGTACATGAAGGTTATGTTTTTCTTTTTATTAAAACCTCCTCGGTGGCCTTTTGTCATATTCAGAGTATAGTCCAAAATACTTTTTATACTTTGTAAAACTCTTCATTATCCAACCTCTGACCTCACGTCCTACCGCTGTCTACCTCATTCACTCTGCTGCATGAGTCAGGTTGACTTCCTCGTGGTTCATAAGCAAAGCAAGCTAATAGGTGCGTTTGCCTTCTCTGCTTCCTCTGATGGAATATTCATCTCCAGTAGCCTTGTATGGCTTATCACCTCACCCCATTTAGGTCCCTACTTAAATGTCACTTTTTCTACAGAGATTTCTCTGCCATCTTATCTAAAACAGCAGGTAGTGGTCTATGTAGGAAGAAAATGAGTAAAACTGGGTGCTGAGATAAAGACTTTCTCAGTCTGTGAGGAGATACTGCCTGGTTGGAATGTAAGGTGATATTTAAGCTGAGAACAGACTGACAAGGAGTTAGCTGTGTGAAGATATTTTACAGATACTGTTCGAACAGAGGATAGACTGCAAAATAGGCCACTGCCTTAGGTTTTGACACCAGTGAGCTTTTCTCCCTATATTAACTCTATCTAAAATGTTCCTCTTTCAGGCTTGCCCATGTATTACCTGACTTTGAAAATCCACCTTAAATGTCACCTCTTATCTGAAGGCTTTCATAGCCTTTTCTATGAAAGGTCTGTACTCCCTGGGCTTCTATGTCTAATGTTTGGTCAGGTGCAATGTATGGGATATATGTCTCACAAAGCTATGCAGAGGCTAGTGTGGCTCTCACTTTTGTTAATCAAAGGTGGATTTATTGACATGTTTAATCTGAAACAGAATTATTTTCTTTGGCTAAAATATTATGCCACATTTTCATATGTAATTAAAGATAAGTTATTAAATAAATTTAGGAAGATTCAACATCTATATTTCTGTGTATGTGTATGTGTGTACATATGCATGAATGTCTGTGTACATGCTTGTGAATAGAGAGATTTCATAAAGTCTCAAAATATAGACAACTATACACAATATCATTGGATACTATAGTTCAGACTGTAAATAATTAAATATTATCTATATTTCCAGATTATGTGGGCACTTTATATATAATTTACTTTGAAAAAAATGCATATACGTGTGAGTGTTTAGGAGAGTGTGTGTGTTTATGTGTATGTGTGTGTGTGTGTGTGTGTGTGTGTGTGTGTGTGCCTGTGTGCATACAGGCATACTCTCTCTCTGGCTTTGCTAATATTCTGAACTTAGTCTGACTGTTGGGGAATCTAACAAGACAGATGTTGATAGATATACAAAGAAAACAAAGATTCAGGGCAAAGCAATCAGAAGGAAATTACTGTGGGATAATAAGTAAAACAGCCAAACAGTATTTTTAGTGTTTGATTATAGCAACCTTCCAGATGAAGAATGATTAAGATTGAAATTTAAGCATTTCAGATACATGCAAAGACTGAAAAGCCTATTGCAAAAAAAAAATAAAAGGAGCATGAGTACAGGATATAGTAAAATTCCGCTCATATATTGTGAATGAAGAACAGCACAAAATACAAAATTTATACTGCACTTAAGATGATAGGAAAATTCAGAGCAGGCCAGTATAGAGACATTTTCTCATAGAATACTAATTTCAGTCTTTTCAGTTTCTTAAAGAGGTAGCACTAGGATTCTGTCAAAAACTTCCTGCATATACCACTTTATATCATTATATCTGTTCTTTCTTAAATTTACATACTGTAGTATTAAAGGCTTATCTAGTGTTTAGATTGAACCATTAAACATGTGTAATGAAGAGAAAGATGATTATTATTATTGATAAAAAACATTCTTTACTATCCACAAACTTTCTAGTAACTGTAACTCCAGATCGGGACTTATATTGAAACATTATTTATTCATTTGGACTTTTTATGTGAAAATTCTTGTTTTCTAGGTCTCTTAATTGAGAATGTCTGGATTCCAATTCTCTTTCAAGCTTTGTGACACTATTAAAATGATTTATGTTTCCTAAGTTTTACTTTCCTAATAATTGAAGGATAAGTATCCAAAGTATCTAAAATGTTACAATGTGTTTGTGAGGATAAAATATGATAAATGATATAAAGTATTTGTCCCAGTACATGGCACATATCAAATTTTCAAAAATGTCATTATCATTATTAGTATTAACATATGTTCTCATGCTACTTATTCGTATGTAAAATGAGTTTGTATTTTTAGTCTGAGAAAGAAAATATAAATCAATGTGTTCACTAAACTATTTAATACCAACTAAGATAATTCATGAATGAAATCTTTTTGAGTTTGTTTTCTATTATGTGTACAGTGCTTCACACAATGTCTTGCACTAAAATATTTGCTCAATTGAATCTAACTGAACAAAGCTGCTATTCTATTGACTTATTAGAACAATTCCATATCTAAATATTTGTTTTTTCCTCAGAAAGCCAAACTTTGCTTTACAAAATATACTATTTATACACCTGTTTAGATTTTTACTTGCTTTGAATATAAATACAGTTGATCCCTATCAGTTCACTTCGATTCAGTCACTCAGTCGTGTCTGACTCTTTGAGACCCCATGAGCTGCAGCACTCCAGGCCTCNCTGTGGTTATTGATATTTCTCCCAGCAATCTTGATTCCAGCCTGAGCTTCCTCCAGTCCAGTGTTTCTCATGATGTACTCTGCATATAAGTTAAATAAGCAGTGGCAATATACAGAAACTTACAAATTCCATAAATAATAGTTATGTTTAATGCAGATGCTATTGAAATATCTATATAAGGAAGAGTTTTCTGCTATATTTTGAATGATATATAAATGTTCTTCATGTTTATTTAGAGAATGCAAAAAATTAACCATGTGCTAATAGTCAGTGGTCAGTAGAATTGTAGAGATTTCATTTCAGCATTTCTCAAGGCTTGTAATTACTCTAAATATAATTCCAGCTTCCCTGTGCCTTTACATATTGACATTGAAAACTAAAACTAAGCATCTGTGCAGTTAATTTTGAAATGGAAATTAAAAAATAATTTGTAACAAAAATTCAAGTCATTTGAACTTGCTAATAAAATATTCCAGGTGGAACCATACTTTATGTGTTAATTGTGAATCACAACTAGCTAGCTAGCTATCTAAATCGATCATCTATATATCTCCATAAATGTAAGCAATATCCAAAAGTATTAAAATAAATGATTAATGCTTTATACACACAAGTTTTCTAAGGAGGAATGACTGATAATTTTAAAGTGTGCTTTTAAGGAAGGCTTCAAGGAGGAGGCACATTTGCTCTGGACACAATGGATGAGAGTGGCTGTGATGGGGAAGGGGAGACATCTGTGCTCGGAAAACCACTTAAACGAGACACTGAAGAGGAAAAACAGAAGTCGTATTCAGGTGACAATGACAATAAACATAGTGATTTAGCCTGTAAAAAGCTCTGGTTCATGAAGTGGTGAGAAGGAAGGACTATGTAGTACCAATTAATGGAGAGCTTGGATTCCAGAATAAGAAGTGTTTATCTTGTTCAGAAGGAAAATAAGAGGTTTTGCAAGTACTTGTTTTTGTGTTTGGTGCTTTCCTGGTGGCTCAGATGGTAAGGAGTCTATCTGCAATGCAGAAGACCCAGTCTCGATCCCTGTGTCAGGAAGATCCCCTGGAGAAGGTTTTGTGTTTGTTTTTGGCTAGTTGAAAACTGTGCTCCCTTCTGCATCGAAGGACAAGCCACCCATTCTCCTTTCTAAGGCAAGTTGCTCCACCTGCACATTATCCATCACTTAACTGCCTTTCACTTCTGAAACAGACATCTTCCATTTCTGTTACATCTTCTACCTCTGTATTCTTCAATTAATTTCTTGCCATTATTTCTTTTCCTTCTTCCTAAAATGTATTATTCAATTTCTTCAAGATAAAATAGTTTCCTTTGCCTTGACATGGACTTCCCAGTGGCTCCTCAGTGGTGAAGAATCTGCTTGCCAATGCAGGAGGAACAGGAGATGTGGGTCCCATCTCTGTGTCTGGAAGATACCCTTGAGAAGGAAATGCCAACCCACTCCAGTATTCTTGCCTGGAGAATCCCATGGACGGACGAGTCCATGGGATCACAAGGAGTCAGACATGACTGAGCAACTAACACCTGTTTTTTTGTGTTGACCTCAATCTCTACAATTTTCCTTGCTATGAGCTTTTCTTACAAAAACTGAGCATTTACTTTCTACTTTCTCCCCTTTCTTTTAGTCTTCCTCCCTCTGTACATGACTTGCCTTCACACTTCCCACCATCCTATGAATATTGGCTTTACTAAGACATCCAATTGTCAAATTCAATGATGTCTTTTCAGATATCATGTAGCTTGACTTACTTCCATCACTCAACACTGTTGATGAGTATAAAGAAAGATGTGTAATTTGAAAACACACACACCTAAATTATCTTGATCGGATTTGTAACCTCTAACATCCTGAATATGGTAGTGGTTTCTAAATAAAGTTATTATGAGAATATAGTTAGGTTATGGGCTTCCCAGATGGCACTAGTGGTAAAGAAACTGCCTGCCATTGCAGGAGACGTAAGAGACGTGGGTTTGATCCCTGGGTCAGGAAGATCCCCTGGAGCAGGGCATAGCACCATACTCCAGTATTCTGGCCAGGAGAATTCCATGGACAGAGGAACCTGGCAGGCTATAGTCCATGAGGTCACAAAGAGTTGGACACGACTGAGTGACTTTCACTTCACATACTTAAAATAGCTGAAATTTTACTTAATTAGGAAACTTCAGTTAGGACAATAACTCTGTCCCACTAGAGAAATATCTTATTAGAGGATTAAGCAACACTTTTTTTTGTTTGTATTCTTTAAAGACAGTAAAAATTTACAGAGATCAACTTTGTAAATGGTATGCCATCCCAACTGTTCACTCCAAATACCAGTTCTTTTCATGTACTTCACTCCTTACCCTATTCACCTAGGGAGTATGTATTGTTGCTGTTGTTTTCAGTTGCCCAGTCTTGTCTTACTCTTTGTGACCACATAGACTGCAGCACACCAGGCCTCCCTGTCCCTCACCATCTCCTGAAGTTTGACCAAGTTCATACCCATTGCTTTGCTTATGCCATCCAGCCATCTCATCCTCTGATGCCCCTTCTCCTTCTGCCCTCAGTCTTTCCCAGCATCAAGGAATTTCCCAGGGAGTCATCTCTTCATATCAGATGACCAAAATACAGGAGTTTCACCTTCAACATCAGTCCTTCCAACTAGTATTCTGGGTTGATTTCCCTTAAGATGACGGATTTGGTCTCCTTGCTGTCCAGGGGAATCTCAGTCTTCTCCAACACCACAGTTTGAAAGCATCAATTCTTTGACCTTCTGATTTCTTTCAGTTCAACACTGACAACCATACGTCACCACTGGGAAGACCATAGCCTTTTCTATATGGACCTTTGTCGGGAGAGTAATATCTCTGCTTTTCAACACACTGTCTAGGTATGTGTATGCTTTTTATATTTCAGCATAGGGATGGTTTCTCAGGGAGAGTTTAGGTCATACTACTTAGTTTATAGCACCATAATTTATATTCTAGTATGAATTTTGTTTCTGAACATGCTATTATTTGAGTGATTATTTTGTGATACAAGTTTTGGGCATTGTAAGTAATAATTACTGGGTGGAAAAAGTGTCTGTGTTTGCTTGCTTTTGGATTTCCCAGCACCAAGCACTTTTGATTGGTCAATAAATGTTTGCTCAGTGAGTAAATGGGCTTTAACTGTGCTTAATTTGAAAACATAGAAGAAATATTGGCCTCAGGAATGTGATTTAAAGGCCTTTATGTTTTAAGCTCAAAGATAATAGATCATTGTTTTTTAATTAACCCAAATAATCTTTGGGTTAAAAATAAAAATAAATACCATACAATATCACTCATCTCACATGCTAGTAAAGCAATGCTCAAAATTCTCCAAGCCAGGCTTCAACAGTACATGAACCGTGAAATTTCAGATGTTCAAGCTGAATTTAGAAAAAGCAGAGGAACCAGAGACCAAATTGCCAATATCTGCTGGATCATCGAAAAAGCAAGAGAGTTTTAGAAAAACGTCTAATTCTGCTTTATTAACTATGCCAAAGCCTTTGACTGTGTGGATCAAAACAAACTGTGGAAAATTCTGAAAGAGATGGGAATACCAGACCACCTGACCTGCCTCCTGAAAAANGGTGTTCACTGGAAGGACTGATGTTGAAGCTGAAACTCCAATACTTTGGCCACCTAATGCAAAGATCTGACTCATTGGAAAAGACCCTGATGCTGGGAAAGATTGAGGGCAGGAGGAGAAGGGGACAACAGAGGATGAGATGGTTGGACGGCATCACCGACTCAATGGACATGAGTTTGAGTAAATTCCAGGAATTGGTGATGGACAGGGAGGCCTGACGTGCTGCAGTCCATGGGGCCACAAAGGGTCGACACAACTGTGTGACTGAATTGAACTGAAATAATCTTTTTATATTTCTTTGACTGAAAATATAATTCTGAATCTTATAACGTTACTCATCCTTTTTAAGTGCACAATAAAGTAAAATTAAGAAAAATAGCATCAATGCAAGTTCTCAAAAATTCCTGAAAGACTGAGTTTTTATACATATAGTTATTTTTGCAATTTCAAGGTCAATCCTATAAGTTAACTATATTACACAATGCTAAAAGCAATAGAGTTAGGTTTTATAGGTAATGGATAAAATTGAAGTGGCTGTTTCAAGAAATGCAATTATCTTATGTCATGATATGTTTAGAAGTCCATGAATATAATGGAATTTCTTTTCGTCTCTCATCTTACTGCAGAATATTCCTCAACTAAATGAACTCAGGCTCCTGTTTTTCAAGAGTACCATTAATACTGTCATAAAAGGGGCTGCTTTCAGTCAAAATGTCAATACCTGGCAACTGCACATGGTTAATTCGATGACACTACTTCCCAGTAATGTCACATTATTGGGACTAGTTTTGAAATGACATTAAAATAAATTTCATAAAACTTAATAAGAATTTAGATATAACATGATAATATTGAAGTATAAATAATATCAATAATGAATGTAAATTTTGACAGAATTTATTCTTTAAAATCAGATGTAATTTACCATTAAATTACCAACATGTTCCCTATTTTTAAAAATTAAGCTTGTTTAACCTCTTCCCATGTATCATTTTGTATAGTGAAAATAAAAGGAATAATTTATACTTTTTGAAGGAGTACATTGCAAAATATCTTTAAGGAAATCAAATATGAACTCAAACTTAGGAGTACTTACTAGATCACATGTCATGGAGATTCCAAGATAATATTTGATAAGAATTCAGAGTGATCATAATATTAATTTCATTATCAGAAAAATATTGGAAAATCACTCATGTTTCAATTATAGACTATAGTAGTTCAGCTGGTAATGAATCTACCTGCAATACAGGGGACCCCAATTCGATTCCTGGGTTGGGAAGATCCCCTGGAGAAGGGACAGGCTACCCACTCCAGTGTGCTTGGGCTTCCCTTGTGGCTCAAATGAATCCACCTTCAAGGTGGGAAACCTAGGTTCGATCCCTGGGTTGGGAAGATCCCTGGGGGAAAGGAACAGCTATCCACTCCAGAATTCTGGCCTGGAGAATTCTATGGACAAAGGAGCCTGGCACGCTACAGTTCGTGGATTCGCAGAGTCGTACATGGCTGAGCAATTTTCACTTCACATACTTAAAATGGCTGAAAATTTATTTAATTAAGAGACTTCAGTCAGGAAAATAACTCTTTGTCCCTCTAGAGAAATATCTTAATAGAAAATTAAGCAACACCTTTTTTTGTCTGTATTCTTTAAAGGCAGTAAGATTTAGAGAGATCTATTAAAGATGTTTGGAAATTATAAACAGATATAAATGATTAGGCAGTCCTGTCCATCACAAAGAGGCATCTAAGTGAATATACATTCACACAAATTTTTTAATCTAAATTAAAACAAAACAAAAAAAAGATACAGTGTGATTCTCATTGTTCTAGAAAATACCATTAAGGCCAATGGTCCTGTGTTGATTGGTTTTTATTCCTTACTCATGCTGCTTCATAGATGCTCTCCAGCATCTTACTAACTCAAGTAAACAAAAGGTAGCAGCATCCAATACTGAGGCAAAAATGTGAGTTCCTTTACATTAGACTAAGAAACACACATATATATCAAGATATATACATATACATGTATATATATATATAGATGAAGATATATATGTGTGTGTGTGTGTGTGTGTGTGTATATGCTAAAAATATTTTCAACAGGTATATTGGATCCCCAAGTGGAAAGAATTATTGAAAAGACTGGAAACCAAATTTATTACAGCTGAGTAAATTGAGCCTTATCTTTAGCATCTGAGCCACCAGTTCAGTTCAGTTCGGTTCAGTCCCTCAGTCGTGTCTAACTCTGTAGCACACCAGGCCTCCCTGTCCATCACCAACTCCTGGAGCTTATTCAAACTCATGTCCATCAATTCAGTTTTGCCATCCAACCATCTCATCCTCTGTCAACCCCTTCTCCTCCTGCCTGCAATCTTTCCTAGCATTATGTTCTTTTCCAGTGAGTGAGTTCTTTGAATCAGGTGGCCAAAGTATTGGAGTTTCAGCTTCAGCATCAGTCCTTCCAATGAACACCCAGGACTGATTTCCTTTAGAATGGACTGGCTGGATCTCCTTGCAGTCCAAGGGACTCTCAAGAGTCTTCTCCAACACCACAGTTCAAAAGCATCAATTTTTCAATGCTCAACTTTCTTCACAGTCCAACTCTCACATCCATACATGACCACTGGAAAAACCATAGCCTTGACTAGACAGACTTTTGTTGGAAAAGTAATGTCTCTGCTTTTTAATATGCTATCTAGGTTGGTCATAACTTTCCTTCAAATGGAGGAAGAAAAGGTGTAAGTAGTGACAGATTTCATCCCTTCTTGGCTCTAAAATCACTGCAGATTTTGACTGAAGCCATGAAATCAGGAAAGTAATGACAACCTAGACAATGTGTTGAAAAGTAGAGACATTACTCTGTTGACAAAGTTCCATATAGTCAAAGCTGTGGTCTTCCCAGTGGTCATGTAGGATTGTGAGAGCTGTACCATAAAGAAGGTGGAGTGTCAAACAATTGATGCTTTTGGATTGTGGTGTTGGAGAAGACTCCTGAGGGTCCCTTGGACTGCAAGGAGATCAAACCAGTCAACTTTAGGGGAAATTAACACTGCATACTCATTGGAAAGGACTGATGCTGAAATTCCAGTATTCTGGTCATCTGATATGAACAGCTGATTTATTGGAAAAGTCCCTCCTGCTGGGAAAGATTGAGGGCAGCAGGAGAAGGGGTGTCAGAGGATGAGATGGCTGGATGGCATCACTGAAGCAATGGGCATGAACTTGGGCACACTTCAAGAGATGGTGAGGGACAGGGAGGCCGGGTGTGCTGCAGTCCATGGGGCCACAAATAGTTGGACACGACTGGACAACTGAACAACAAAAACAACAAATACCAAATTTATTACAACTGAGTAAATTGAGCATTATCTTTACCATCTGAGCCATCAGGGAAGTCCCAATATTTTTTCCAGTCAAAGATAACACAAGAAAATACAAGTCTCAGGATGGTGCTCTGTTTCACAAAACTTATGATACTGAAATGAAAAGCTATTTTTAAAGAAATCATATTTACATAATTTCATTAAAAATATTGGGGAAATAGAAATAATTTTGCTTTTCATCTTTACACACACACATGCACACTAATCACACATTCACATAAAATGAACTATCAATAAGGAATAACTAACTTCTTGTAATTTAAAATTTTTTTCTGACGAGGTTAGGATTTATAGAAAAGTGCTAACAGCATTGCTTTGTACTTAGTACGCCTAATAAGATTTATTGAATAATCAAAATATTGAAGACTTTCAACAAATATGATAGTAAATAATAAGTGAAATTGAATGTGTATTTGTGTGTGTTGATGTGTGTTTGTAGGCTCAGTTCTGTCCCACTCTTTGTGACCCCAGGGACTGTAGCCCACCAGGCTTCTTGGTCCATGGAATTTTTCAGGCCATTTCCTAGTCCAGGGGATCCTCCTGACGAGGGATTGAACACCTGTCTCTTGTGTTTCCTGCATTGGCAGGTGGATTCTTTATCACTGGGCTACCTGGGGAGCCCCTAAATTGAATAAGTCCTCACTAAAAGTTGTGTGAGACACTGAACACTTTGTATATTTATTTTATTATAACCTCTTTGATCTTTAGAGTGTCTATAATAGGCATTATTAGCTTCATTACAGAAGTGAAGGGATTCAACCTCAAATAGGTCATGGAAATTCCCTGAAGTCACAGAACTCGGAAGTGGTAGAACTATTATTCAGATTCAGGTCCAATACAATGTACAAATGTTTTTTCTCCAACAAACGCCAAG